AAGGAGACTGCTTGTCATTTTTTGTGGCAGCTTTTCTCTCTCTCTCTCTTTTCAGTTTCTGTGTGTGTGTGTGTGTGTGTGTGTGTGTGTTTTACTCGAGTGACTTTTTGAACACAAGCAAATACAGAAACCCAAAGAATATCAAATAGACAATAACACAGGAACATGAGCATGTGCGCACCCTTTGGATGGTGACGACTGATTCCCAGTAGTGGTGTCTTGGCCATGGGGGGCTTTGGGCCGGGTTAGGCTGGTTTACTGATTTTGACAGCGTGGCCTCGTCTGGCCTAGTGCCAGTGTTGAGCTAGCTCTCGCTGGCTGCTCTGGCCTCCTATAAATCAAGGCCAATTACCACGCTAGTGTGCAGCCTCCTCTCCTCCAGTCACAGCCCTGCCCTGCGGAGTGCAGGGAGGAAGGGAGAAAGACAGGGATGGCATAAGCCTGCTTTTATTCCAATTACAGCTGTGGCTGCCCTCTGCTCTGTTCTCTATGTGTAGTCACAAAGAAGGTTTTCACACTTTTTTGATAGAAGTAAGAAGCCACTTTATCTGAACATGTAATCACCTCTAAAATCGGGACCGCCAGCATTCCAGGTGCTATCTAAAAAGGTAGCTTGTCATAGACTTTACATCACAATTAAAAAAAAGTAAATGTTCTTTTTTAATCCTTATTCTTTAAATCTGAAGTCCATGTTTAATTTAACCTTGTACTTTATAAAGTTATTGTCTTAATTCCCTCCACTGAAAACCATTTATCTTCATTTTTTTTTATTTTAGAAATTAAGTGAAAGATTAAGTGTTCCCTTATGGGTTGGTAAATTCACAAAGTGCTAAAGTTTTATAAAATATTTTAAAAAGTTGAGTCAGAATTTAAGCATTGTGTAAGTGCACGGGTTTTCACCGTCTCTCACAGTGGGACGATTTTGTTAAACACTACACAAACATGCATGTGTCGCAATGACCAAAGCAGGTTTAAGCCTTTTATAAGTCTAGCAGTGGTTTAAAAAAAAAAAAAAAAAAAGCATATAGCTGTGGTTTAGGGGAAAAAATGCATTGTCCTTGTGTGGGTGTGTGAATATACATCACAACGCCATGCGCCTTCAGCCTATGTAACGTAGGCTAGATTTATCATCCTCACTTAATACACTCATAAACATTCGCTGGCGTGTCACAGAGGCTGTGAACCCCCCTTCACGACTGGCTCGGTAAATTGGGCCTGTGTAAACCATTTTGCCTGTCTAAAATACAGTGCAGCAAATTGAAATCCCAAGTAAGCCTCTGTAGCGGCATGTCACAGCTGGGTAGGGAGGAGGCAGAACGGAGGTTTTTCTCATTTACCACCTGGAGGTTTTTGAAGTGTCATAACCAGCGGTTTTCTCACACCCTTCTATTTCACTCTAATTCTTTCTACCTTGCTTTATTTTTTATTTTTCCCATCCTTTTTTTTTTTCCCCGTGAGTCTTCTGTTCCCTCCCCTTTTTGGTAAATTACTCTTTGCCAAGTGCTATACTCAGTCCTCATCATTCTGACACATGAGGCTAGTATTTAATATATTTGAGAAGCCTGATCTGGCAGGCTGACAGACCAAGGGTAAACAGGAGTCATGAAACTGTCCGGCAAGAAAAACAAGCCTGGATATTAACCTCTAGTGCAGCGACCAGCAGAAGCCAAGAGGGAAATGGATATAAAACAAAGAGTTTGAAACATTTTGGTGCTCTGTGTGTGTGTGGGTGTTTGTGCTGCAGAGAAAACCAGTTGTGTCCAGGATTGTCTTGGATCCATTGCATTTAAAAGTTCACATACTGCCCCAAGATTAAACAGAAATCTTACTTAAATTACATATATGGTTCCTACACAGCACAGCAAGCTGATATTAGGATTGTCTTCATAGAAGAATGATGGGGTTACTTGAGTAATGATTAGATTTGAGGAGCTCTCGCGGAGCTTTTTCCATTTTGTTTTTACCCAACATATCTAAACTTTTACCACATTCTTCCAGATATAAAATAAAAGTATTTTTAAAAATATACCATTAAATTCACCCCCTTAGCACAGACTGCATTCTTCATCCCAGCGGATTCCTAGTGGATACCTTTGCATGCTGCCTTTTAACCCGTCCCTGTAAGTATTAGACTGGTTTTGACCCTCCATGCCTCACTGTGTAAGATTTCAGCTTCTGACCTTAAAAAGAAAAATGAAAGCAAATCGATAGGGCGGGACACATGAATTCCAAAGACCAGCATGGAAGCCAAGCCTGGAGCCCGAGAAGGACAGTCAGGGCTGTGTGTGTCACCATGGGGGCTAACAAAGAAGTGGGGGGAGAGAAAGCCTGAGAAAGCGAGAGAGGGGCTATTAATTAACACTGAACGCTGAAAGAGGTTCTGTCTAGTGTCTCTCGTTTGTGCTGCGAATTTGTTGGAGTCACACAGTGTGGTAATTACCATGTGTGTATTTTAAACTGCAGCGGACTAAGGGAAAAATCTAACGAGTGGACGGGGGGGACCTGAGGTGAAAGCCTTAAAGTCAAGGCTTGGACTGCAGCTGTGCATTTGAGGGAGAAAAAACAAGTCCCACAGGGCACTTGAGAGATTAAGATTCTTCTATACTGCCACAGCGTGGAAACTTGAATGACTGGAGACTAGTTTGGCTTGTTTCATTCAAGCCCGTGCAACCAAGGCTACCAGAACAGCGCAAGGCAAGGTGGGGGGCGGGATGGGGGAAGTTTAGGGAAATTTGTGTCTGTGGTGATCGGACCTGTGTGCTTGAAACTTGGATTTAAATTTCAAACTTCTTTCAACTTGGACGTCGACTCCCTAAATGTACAAAGTCATTCTGATGGTCATCATTCGTAGACCTGAAACAGTAGTTGTTTTCACTTTAATATTAAAGCTTTAATATTAACGCGCTGTGGATGACTCTTCTGAAAAAGGTTGTTTCTGTGTTGTCATGTGGCGCATATGTGTGTCTGTGAGTGTGAGCGTATGCACAGCGGCCGACATGTGTACAGTGTGGGTGAGTCCAGCACAGTGAGTGGCTGCCCATCAGTTCCACTAAGCTCAGCGTGGTAATTGGCCGTCTATTGATGGACGTGGCTCCCTCTTCACGCTCCAGGGACCCCGGCTCTTTGTCTGAGGAGTGGGAGGCGACACGCTGGCATGGCACACACGCTTAAAATAGCACATCAAATCAGCCATGCTCCGCCAGTCGCTGCTAACGTGTGGGGCAGATTGGAGGGCTAATGGTGTGTGTGTGTCTGTGTGCGTGTAGGTGTATGTGCGTGGATATGTGGGGGGGTTTTACAGCATGGTATGAGGTCTTGAGCTTCTCTCTAGGGAAGATAAAGGTTAACATGGTTAACTGGAGCTGGTGGTGGTATTTAGTCATGTCCCCCTCTTTCCCTGACCATTTTTCTCTCCTCCCTTTCATTCATCACTCACTCACTTTATTGCAGTGTGGTTTCTTTCTTTCGCTCTTCTTCCGTCTCACTTCCTTCCTCGCTCTCTTTTAGTGTTTCTCCCTCGCTTTTAGTCTCTGTGTCTCTGTTCATGCCCGCAGGGCCCCGGCTCTCTCTCTGTCACTATGTGCAGTGTCCCTGCAATAGAGATATAAATGGGCTGTGAGCGGGGGGTCCTGACTCCTATACCATAAATCTATGCTAACAGCACAACAAGCACGTAAGGAAAGCAGGGGATGGGCTAGGAGGCAAGGAGAAAAAAACAAATGGAGGGGTTGGGGCATCACAATTCTAATACATTTTGAATACATTTTGTGAGATGGAGATTAAACTGAAAATTTCATTCATATTGAGATGCTTATAAAATAGGCTGTACTGGATTATTGCATCAGGATCTCACACCCTCTGAGGTGTAAATTGTTTCGCAGTGTAATGAAATTGGTTTTGAGGGTATTAGTAGAAAGCAGGAAGTTGCCATCATTTAAAACTGTTCATAAGCTGCTAGGAGCCTCGTGAACTCTAATATCAGAGAGTCACCTTGGTGAAATGTTTATTTAAGATGCCAAATGAAGAAATGTTTGTCCCCTCGACTCCAGTTGCATATGCGCAAAAAGCCCAGAAACTTGCAAAACCAGATATAATCTATCGCTTTATTAAGCACGAAGGTGACAAAAGTTTGAAAGAAGCGAAGCACTTTTCCTGTCATTGTGTAGACCTTTTTATTTCTCTACGTGAAGATGTTTTCCTCGCAGTATTATTATTTGAGGCTAAGGTTGCTTTCTTGAATCTTTTACTCAAGTTCTCCTGGGTTTTCATCTCGTAGTGACCCTGCTCACTTCTCCTCGCCGCTTCACAGCTGCCCCAAAATGTCTCGTCTCGCGATTGCGGGGACATTGTGCTGGCAGTGCCTGCTGTTTCTTCAAATGAAACATTTTGAACTCTCTCTCTCACATTTTCTGCTCCTGTCTAAGAAATGTTTTCACACCTCACTTCTCATTGTCTTTTAAAGCTGCTGTAAACATCAGAACAGTAGGATTACGGCTGGATGATGTGTCAAAATTTTCCAGTCGCCCACCCTCAGTCCAACAACCAATGATCACACACACATTTTTTTTTAAAAAAACAATCCCCTGCTGAAAAAAGAGAAACTTTGCTGTGTGGTTCTTTTTATTCATAGGTTTTTCCTGGCAACAGCTGAACACCTTGAAATGCATTTTGCCATCTCTCTTTAATAATGACGTGCAGGAGGTCACTCTCTTAGTTTCTTTAGAAATTTTGGGGAGGCCAGAAGTTTCAAAGAGAGGGACTCACACACAGTAACATGAAAACGAATCCATACCAGCTGCTAAAATGAGAACCAGAGAAGCTTTGACAGAGACATTCCCCTACTAAGGTTGCCATCGCTTCCCCATTCCTTTAAGCAAATACGCATTTCCTGCCATATTCTTGTTCATAATGATGCTCTGAGAATCTTTAAATGCTTTGACTCTGCCTGCTGTCTTAAAATGAAACCTTGTATTAACTTTCTCTTTACCTTCTCTTTCCAGCAGCCCTATGCTCCACCCCCTCATCCCATGGCTCCTCCCAGCCCCAGCACCAACAGCTGCAGCCAGGGAGGGGCGGAGCAGCTGAGTAAGACCAACCTGTACATCCGAGGCCTGCCACCTGGGACCACCGACCAGGATCTCATCAAACTCTGCCAACCGTGAGTACTGGGAACGATCGTCATTAAATACAATGGTTATACTGTAATTCTTGCCAATAGTATAAATATTTCTTTCATTTACATAATTGTGTTCCGCTCTTGGCCATACTGTGCTTGTCAAGCATTTATCAGAACAGGTGTACATTATAGATACAAATATGTCCTTCAAATTTTTTACCATATGCACTATTTATAAAAACAAAACATACCCCAGTACAAACTGTTGATTTTTGTCTTTTTTATTTTGTTGGAGTGCTGCGAAGAAAACTAAGCACACATTTACTGTGTCCATAGGAATTAAGAGGCTTAGCAGCAGCGGCCACCTCTGTAAAAGCTGTAGTTTTGGCAGTTTGCTAGTCTGGAACATTTAGGTGTATCAAAACATCACACCAACTGTCAAGAACGGTGATTGAGAAATAATGCTTTGGTGTTGTTCTGTAACTACAGGACCTGGGCACCATGAGTTGACCATGAACTCCTCTGTACACCAAAATATTCTTGATTCAAATACGAGGCCATTTGTCTGGCAGCTAAATCTCATCCCAAATTTAATCATTCATCAGAACAATGATCCCAAACACTGCAGCAAATCTAAAATAAAATGCTAAAAATGACTCCGACCTTGAGGTCCAACTCCAGACCTCAACCTGATTGAAATGCTGTGGTTGGACCTTAAGAGAGCTGTACATGAGCAACCGTGGGAATCTGATGATGTTAAACAGAAAACGATTTCTTCAAGATATTACTGCTAAAGATGATTCTGCAATCTAGTGAATCACGGCGTGCGTTTAGTTTTTCACAGGACAGTATGTGTCAATATCCCAGTTGAAACTGTCGTCTTTTAAAAAGATATAATACAACATAAAAACGTATAGGTATCCTGAAGAGAATTTATACTAGCTGCAAATCCCAGACATACACCATTAGAACATTGTACTAATGGCTAGCTACCAGTTATAGTTAACCCGCCTAGAATACAGGTAATTTTTACTGTGTTGGATAATCACTCACTTGTTTAACTAGATTAAAAAAATGTCTGTTTCCTCTTTTTAAAGAAAAAAATATGCATGGCATCTGTGCTTTCAAGCACCTAATAAAGATTCAGTATCTATGTTTCTCTATGTATTTGAAAAAAATATTGTGAGATATTCAAGGTAGAATGCAGGCCACAACTCGGTTATTTGTCATGTAGCAATAAATCCGATCTGTATTCTACATACAGCAAACGGTGTCTTTTTTCACAGGATGACACATGCTTAGACCCAAGCATAGCTGGTTGATAAGCATAGCTGTGCCTGTGTACACAAATGATGCAATCAAACCAAAAAAATCACCTCTAAGAAGAAAATTACAGGCTTGAAATCGGGTCCATGCACACCCCATTAAACTGCAACCAACTCGGTGTCTTTTGGTGTCGCACACACACACATA